TTAAGGAATAATTCATCACCTGTCCATTCCATACCTCTACGGTGTCAAAACCAGCCCTCTATAGCTCAAGACCCAGACTGCACCTCAAGAGCTTTTTGAGCAGGGGAAGGAGTTGAAGGACATGTATCTTATCCACAGGCCCAAAACACCTAAAGTGCTCATCCAAAAAAAATTAGAGGGATCTTGTTGCATTCATGGCCTAAAAGCAGCAAGGAAGGAATAGTCTGGAAGGGGAGACCATCCGTACTGGATCGATGCAAATACTGCTGATGTGACAACACCAGACGGACACGTGGCATAGCAACAGGGTGAAGGGTTACCAGTTTCACTCTCAGCAGGAGGAAGAGAAAGAAAATGCTACACTAGGCAAGGCGTTGGTCTGAGGAGCACCAAGTCCCTGGTAACCAAACAGACCGCATGGAAAAGGGTGAGGGAGGACAAAGTGTTTGTTGAGCCTTGCACTTCGTGCATGCAACGGAGGCAGCCTGAACGCCCTCCCAGCCCCTCTGCTGCTACACGCACCGGGGACTCAGGTTTGGCGCCAGGTGTGCAGCTTGGTGCAGAAACCCCAAATGGATCCAACAGGACCCCTGCGATGACAAACGCAAAGCAAGGCACATGTTAGGAATCAGGGTGAAGAGGGATTATTCCTCTGTAGGGGCCCATCATGCTTTTCTCACCGTACACGTTTCCAGTAGCACTGTCCTGGTTTTGCTGGACTCGTGAAGCAGCGCTCCAGGCCTTCTGCCGGCAGGTAGCACTGCCGAGGAACTGGAAAGCCCGCGGCAAGGCCATCTGTGACTTGACACCTGCCTGAGCCTTGTATACACACAGCAACGAGCTGAAGTCCTCGGGACCAGCTGGCGCAGAGCTGATGCCCCGTTGCTGGGAGCCACCGCTGCTGTCACGTCGGAGAAGGCAGAGAGGGCGCTTGCAGTGAAGCTGCCGCAGCCGGAGTTCACTGCGCTCAGGTGAGAGGCGGCACCTGGCGCACACGCAGGCTGCGCTGGGCTCCCTGAAACCAAGGGCTCCCCGTTCCTCAGGCGTGTTAACCACCCAGGGCAGGCCCCATGCCAGCCCAGCTTTCTGGCCCGGATGAGTGCGGAAACCCTGGCTGCAGGCAGGTTGGGAACCGCAGGTGTAATCCCCCTGGCCTCCCCTGCCCTGGAACACACTTCTGGCCACTCAAGGAAGTTGGAAAGTTTTATGAGCTTGGCATCACGTTCACCTGACGTGTTTTTCAGGCACTACCACTTGGGTGATGAGTGATGTGTTTGTTGTAAACTTCGGAGATCACTGTAAGCTCCGTTTCTTTGGCCTTGAGGCAGATTTAGACACATTCAGTTTCTTTTGCCCGAGATCCAGCCCTTCCCTCCTTTTGTGTCCCTGGTTTCTGTTTTCACTACCTCTCAGGTCCCAAATAACAAGCAAACCCGCTGTGAGTCACAGGGCAGGGAACGTAAGAAGAGTATTTCCCAACAGGAAACTAAACAGAAAATCAGTTTCAATTCCCCACACTGCTTAATTGCATGTAACCACCCATTTTCTCAAGGCCACATCTTAGTACAACACTTGGGATGTGGCAACCTAATATTAACCTAATAGGAGGGGTCTGTAAAGTGCTGGCAGATTTATGGTATTCTCCTCCGCGGGGTTAACTGCCTTTCACCTGGGGCTCCCTGCAAAGCCAACCAAAGTGGATATGGAAGCTTGGAACCCGCTTCAGGCAGCGTTGTTTTCAGTTTAGACCTGGGGAAAACCACTGTCCTAGCAGGTCGGATGCAGTTTGCAGCGTGGATACAAGAGCCTCATTTCTCGCTTCAGGCTCTCCGTGACGCTTTCCCTCAGCAGCAGTTTTTTCTGCTAAAGTAGGTTTACAGAGAAAAGCCAGCCCCATTTTCACAGCTACGTCCCTCAACATCCCTCTGGGTTGGTAACTACCATTTTAGAGTCTGAAAATGAAAGTTCTGGTGTCAAAAGTCACTAAACTGATATCTGCACAAATCGGCCTCCTTTTTTCTCCCCCCCCCCCAGCAGAGGCGCAAGAGCTTTCTGAAAAGCTCCGCGTTCACGCTGGCTTTACACTCACCTGCAGCGACACAACCAGCACGCCAGCGGGTGCCGGCTCTGGGTAGACTCGTGTGTCTGGGGGGATGAAGAGCTCCTGTGGGTGCTGGCCGGTTGTGAACTGGGAGCCCCCAGCGAGTCCCGACGGCTCAGCTGTGCCGAGTCACTCCTCCCGCTGCGAGCGCGTCCCCCATCCCTGCCTCATTCTCTCGGGTTACTCCACAGGTGCCGCTCCTTCTCCCAGGAACCGCGTCTGAGCTGCAACCAGCACCGAAACCCCAGGGAGAAGCTTCAGACCACATGGAAGAGGAGTGCTGCGTCCAGCTGTGGGGCCCCCAACATCAGGAGGATATAGACTGGTTGGAGCGAGTCCAGAGGAGGCCACAAAGATGCTCAGAGGGCTGGAGCCCCTCTGCTATGATGAAAGGCTGAGAGAGTTGGGCTTGTTCAGCCTGGAGAAGAGAAGGCTCCGGGGAGACCTTATTGCAGCCTTCCAGTACCTGAAGGGGCTACAAGGAAGCTGGGGGGGACTTTTTACAAGGGCCTGTAGTGACAGGACAAGGGCTAACGGGTACAAATTGAAACCAGGGAGGTTTAGATTAGGTATCAGGAAGAAATTCTTCACAGAGAGAGTGGGGAGGCACTGGGACAGGTTGCCCAGAGAAGCTGTGGATGCCCCATCCCTGAAGTGTCCAAGGCCAGGCTGGATGAGGCTTGGAGTAACCTGGTCTAGTGGAAGGTGGCCCTGGCCATGGCAGGGGGGGTGGGACTAGATGATCTTTAAGGGCCCTTCCAACCCAAACCATTCTGTGATTCTATGAATTTCATCCGAAAAAATCCCACGGGAATCTGAGGGAGAGCCCATGAGAGGACAGAAAATGCAGACAGGAGGCATTAACACGCTACCACAGAAAAGACCACCAGAAACACACTGCCACAGGTTAAAATACTTTGTTTATTATAAAATACATATTTACACGTGAAGGCACTTGGAAACCGTTACAAAATTTTCATATAAGCTATTGCTTTAGCTGCTCAACAAGTCCCAAAATACTTTTTTCTATCATCTGAAAAGGTGAAAAAATCTGACCTGCATCCAGCTGTAGTACATTCATTTTTCTAATGAATTAACACCACGCATAATGAGAACTAATAAGGATTTTAGCACCAGTTTTCTACAGTTTCAGGGAGTACAGTAACAGTGTGGCGAGCAGACAGACGAGGAGATGCACGTGATGCTGAATTAAAACCCATCAGCTACGCTCTTGCTGCAAGGCTCACGCCTGCACGCTTCCTATCCCGAAAGGCTGCAGCTCTCCCCACAAACGAGGCAGACTTTGCTGAAAGCTAAGGCAGGATTCCCCACTTCCCCACAGCACAGGAGGCTTTTAGGGTCTGGAGTATATACACTGAACGGTCACAGCTGTAACAGCACTGAGGAGCAGATCAAGACAGAAAGTTGTTTCTCTTGTACTTTTTATCTCAAGATCTGAAAACAAATATTAAAAGTTGAATTAAAGAAACTGAACAAAATAATTTACATGAAACCTACTCAACAGCACGGCCATTTCCTCATACTGCAGCTCTCAGAAATAAGCACCATTTTTGGGCAGTTAGAAAAAAAAAGAGAAGAACACAAATCCCAAACAATTAGTTAATGATTCAAAACCAAATCATGGAGTTCCTACTCCCTGCTGAGTAGGGTCCCTGCACACATACACTTTTAACCACGTTTTTCCTCCATCTGCTGGTCAGGTTCATTAGCTGAGACTGCCTGGAACCACTGCGGTGCTCTTCCCTGGACCGGTGGCACAGCAGGTCTTGCAGCATATGCTAAACAAACCAAACAGTCAAGTAAACAGAGCTCCTTAAACAAGTCCTATGTAATAGTTCTTTTTTTTTGTTTCAGTTTAATATACACAAACTGAAAAATACAGTGCTGAGAAGTTTCTCTATGGCTCTACTCTTAAATGCAATTATGGAATAAGATCAAGCTACTGACTTACAGTAATGAATAAACATTGACTTCTCTCCATTTTGGTAAAATAAACCCTAGCCTTTTACCCTGGGTGTTAAAAACTTAGTTACAAGAACCGGATGCTGGAATTGACACATTTCCAATGAATCCAAGCCTTTAATACATGTAAAGCCCCCCGTATATACAAACATGCCTTATCTGATGGGCTTACATCAGCGTAGATACTACACAAGAGGCTAAGATCTTCAGGAAAAATTAAAAAGCAGAGATGCAATTTCTTGGGTGAATCTGTGCATTTAAACAGCAGCAGGACGGCCAAAGCCTCAGCCGTTTTTCAGCCCAAGAAAGATAACTCAGACTCCCTGAACCGCATCTCAGTGCTTTATCAGACGTCAGCATCCAAGTGAAGTCACTCCTACTTGTACTTGTTGATTACTGCTGTTGTTACTGCAAAGGCTGTCTGACCCCCTCAGGGCAGACACTTTTACTGAAGCTCTGACAGGAGGTGGAGCACAGCACCAATCACACAGCTCAAACTGCTCAGCTCTTCCTGAGCCTAAATCATCCACTTGTTCTCCACTCCAGTGTCTCCACAGTGAAATAATTCATAGAATTCCACATTCTTTTAAAATAAGGCACTTTAAAAAGTTTCTTTCCCAAATAACAGAGGCTTGAGGAAACAAATTAGTTCATTAATTTCCTTATAATTCTTACGCCAAACATAAACCCACTATTACCAGAAGCCGAGTTAGACACACAACTCGCAGTGCTCCAAATTAGGCCTAGGAACACCCAGCGTGGCTTTCTACAGATCCCTCTTTTGCTGAAACTGCTCAAATAGGGTGGCCTTTGGGAGTGAAGATCATCACCACCTCTCACTCTCTGGTGTTTACTACTTTACCCTTGCTTTCCTTTACCCTTCCTGTGGAAGTCAGGTAAAAGTTCAGCATTAAAGAAACCTGGCACTTGTCTGTACACAAAAGCGAGAAATAAAGGGCACAGCAGCTGTATCCAACTCCGTAGCTTTTAGTTCCCACAGCAGACCGGCAGGTTTAATGATTTGCTCTTTCACTGACAACATCCTGGAGACGTTTAAGTAGAACATCATCATTTTCCTGGCAGAGGCGTTTCGTAGGGGATTCAGTGTCACTATCAATTGTTATCGCTCGTTTCTTACTCCTGTGTTCACCTTGTTTTATCATATTGTTGATGTCCTTCAAACTCTGTGATCAAGGTAAAAAATTGTGAGTTACTGCAAGTCCATTTCAAACTCTGGTTTTCAGTTATCTGAGAACAGAAAGTTATTCTGACCCGCTTTGCTGAGCGAGTGATGGATTCTACAGAGTTCTACCCTCACCGCACGCTGACCGACTAGTACAATGAAACCTCACTGCATTAGAACACACCCTAATTAGGAGGTTAATTAACCCCCTCTCAAACGGATCCTTTTCAACCTTTTTGCTTGTTACCTTGGAAGGGCTGCCACTAAATTTATACAGTAGTGCAGTTCGAGGTGTCAAGCAGGCACCGTTCTTGTGAGGCGAAATGTAAACAGAGTGCTGCTGAGAGATCCGTCGAGGAGACACTGGCTGTTGCTTAATGCTGGGGAATGGAGACAAGGGAGGGGCTTCCATCTGTAAGAGGGGACAAATGTGGAGAGCAGCTGAATCAGAAGGTATTTAAGAGCAGTAACTTCACAGAAGGAAAGATTAATACACTTCCGGGTCTCCTTTAGAAGATCTTTATCCTGTAACAGTTAAAGAACAGATCAAGTATCCACCAAACAACAGCACAAATCTATTTTCCAGATGCATTACACAGACACTCCACAGGCCTCTGAGTAGGTGTGCGTCGCATCAGTACAAAGAAGCTGAAACCAGGGTTGTAAACTGAACTGCATCTGTCCTCTGGAAAGGCTGTTAAAGGAAGTCCTCATAGCATCATTACCTACCACTACCTGCCTCCTGTAACCACACAAAGCGAGTAACACGACGAAGTTACTGACACACGGCTAACTGTCAGGAAAAGCTACTCTGTGTCTAGTTATTAGACAGAGCAAAATTCAAAAATACTTACTACATGATCCTGGTTTGTGATATCGTACTTCAGTGCAAATGATTTTACTCTTCCTACGTAGACTGCATTGTAAAATTTAATCAGATCTCCTCTCTCCTCTGCTCCCGGCTCACCGGAGTTCTCTGCTGCAGATCGTCCCGAGGAACTGCCGGTTTTCCCAGATGAGTCTAACAACAAGAGAGTGTTTCAGATTTCAGAGACAGAGTATCAGCAAACTGCACACTTCAGATTCCAACTTATACTACCCAACTGGCAAGAACTCTTCCATAAATTGATGAGTTAATGACAAAGAACTGCGCTTGTGATAGCAGCAGGGTGTGCTGTAAGTGGTTATGAACATTAGGAGGAGCTACAAATTGCTGCTAGCAGGCCAGTGGATTATGGGTAAAAACACCAACACAAATCTTTATTCCAAACTTGGAAATAGCTGTAGCAAAAAAAAAAATTGACACCTTTTCCTGTACTTATTTTGGGGGATTCACTGCTCTTAAAATGAAGTTTCAAGCAGTTTGACAACTCCCAGCTTTTAGCTTCCATGAGAGTTTCTACTGATCAGCTGACAGTGAACAGCTCTGCTCAACTCGTGTCTGCTGCAAGGAAAGCGTGGCGCTATTTGTTCAGGTGTATTAGGAACAGCTCTTCAGTGGGAAAAGCTGCAGCCACACAGCAAGCACATCTCTGCTAACGTTCTCTCTCCCTTAATGAAGCTGCACTGCTACTGAACACAACCTGCTGTGTTTCATCCTCCATCCTGCTTCCTGCCAAGCAGAACGGGACACCACCGAATAAAGCCTCTGGTAAGCAGTGTCCTAGGAGACAAACATCAGAGCTTCAGCTGATTCCCGTAAGCGTTACTCCTTAGCTGCCTGCCTTGTGTCACAACACAATCTTATGTTGCTGGAAGCGGTGTCAGAAGAGCGGGAGTTAACACCAGATGAAGGAGGTATGAGGCTACTAACTGAAGAAAAAGTCTGGCAGGGAAAGCAACTGAAGAACTTTGTACATTTGTCTGACAAGACAGTGGAGCCCAGTGTCACTTCAAATGCTCTCCAACAGGCAAGAACTGCGGAGCTGCCAGACAGGATGCTGAACCTACAGAGCAGCACTTCCCTGGACCCCAGCGGAATCCCCAGAGGGCATTTAAAACACAGCTCTAATACTTCTCAAGCAGGTGAGTCCTAATTACAGTGGGAATTGACTATATGGAAGAGTCTTCTAAATTTGTGTGCATCCTGGCTGCAGATGTGCTCTGCTCACGGGTTCATACATGGGCTTGTGATCTCCCAGTTTCCTGACACATCACTGTACTACTCTTACCCCTTTCTCCTCTAACTCAGAGAAAAGAAAACATCAGCTATGTAAAAGAAACCTGAGTATAAGAAAATGGTGGTCTTAGAGTCACCTTTTTTTCCCTGAAACAAGTTCTCCTTATTTAAGCCTTCAGGTTTAAGAAAAACACGCATCATAATATTGCAGGTACTGTTCATCTTTCTTTGTTAACCAGTATGGCTGTCCAAGAGCTACAACATCACCAACACACTAAGGAAAGACTTCAATCTCAAGCAACTAATTTTAGGAAACAAACATTTTTTCCAAATAGGAAGCATATTCTCCATATCTAACACACAGGAGAGCTACTGACATTATGGTTTCTTTTTCAACTTTTATTTTTCTTTAGTACATTTAAAACTGTAAAACTTACTTCACTTCTCGTTATTACTTGACAGCTAAGTTCTTTAAAAGCCCACAAGTACGTTTTTAAGAAGAGCAGATTGCTTTGCTCTACCTACCTTCTGCCATCTCCACATCTTGGCTTGCATTTTTCCCCAGCAGGACATCAGCAGAAATATTTCTCAACAAGACACTCCTGTAAACCTATGGGACACCAGGGAAAAACACTCTTGTCAAGAAAAACAAGGAAGTTAGAAGACTAAACGAAATCCATCTAAACAAGAATGAATGTAACACCAAAGAGGATTTGACTTTCCCCTTATCAGCATAAACACTGGAAAAGTCACCTCCACCTGGGATTTATAAAAAGGAAAAGCAATAGTATACTCACATGGCTGTTTGCTTGGGGCTGATTTCTGTAACTTTTCATTATGTCCTGAAACGTTCTTTCCTCTTTCGTTACCTGGAAAAGAAAAGGCTGGGGCTGCTCAGGTTTAGCCCATTCAATTAGCTTCCCTCTGCACAGCTTTTGTGTGAGTACTACCATAAATACGTAATTTTAAAACTTATTTCTGGTGATGAGAAAATGGAAAAACAAGCATTTTTCTTGTTCAGGCATCACTTGTTTCTTAGCTAGTAAAGCCTTTTGATGATTACGATGCTTAGGAATGATTTTTTTTACCAACTTTTCTTCTAGTGACACTACGAATTAAAGAAGAGAAATATTAAGTCAAAAAAGTATTTGTAAATTTGAAAATTGGACCCCTTAACTTTTCTAAACAGCAAGTGAGGAAATCCTGAACAGACACTAAGCAGGTATATATACACACATGCAATTTCAGCTTTCTGTAACACATGACCTATTTTGAAGTATGAAAGGACTTGTTTCAGACATGCATCTGTAATTTTAACAGCTGATGAGCAACAATTTTTTAGTTGGAGCCAGGAGAGAACGTGTCAAGGTCTCTGGCTAAACTGTCAGGTCTTGCACTGCAATGGAGGCAGCACTCAGAAGCCTGTATTTAAAATAAACAAAACCACCCCAAAACACAAACAAACACCAAACTCTCTGCCTTCCTCCTCCCCAAAAGAAACAACTGACAAACGCATGACAGTAGGCAGAGGCTAACTATTCAGTGGTTTTGCTTTTCTACAGCTATCAGTGTCAATGGCAAAGCCTAAACTATGCTACAGTTATTACAAGGACAGATAGTCACAGTCTGAACACGCTTCCCTCCACAGAAAGAGCACCTCTTCATTTGTCTTCCTCAAGAAGAAAAGGTAACCCATTCCCAGTGTTTGAGTTTCACCTGCCTGAATTTGCACCTGAATCAAACTCGATGGCTATCATAACCATCAGCTCTCAACTGTGAGTCAAGCCAGTACTCCAGTTTCATAGTCCGACTTAGTAACGCCTTGAATCAGTGCTGGCAAATTAGTAAGACATGAAGAAGTACGACTAATAGGCAACCAGCTCAACCCCTGAATCTTCTACAGCTAAGAGGCCTTTGGTCAACGAGACCAGCGCTCATCATGAAGCGCTCAGGAAGAGGAAAAATCCTCTCTTAACCAACTGGCTGGTTGATGGGAACTTTGAATATTATGCAAAACAAGGGAAAAATATACTGGGACTTCATCCCCTTCTTGGACGGACTTCTCCCCTCCCTCCAGTAACATGGCATGAATAAAGGAATTAAATTATAAACTGTCAACATGATTTACCTTTTCAATGGACATAAAATTCCCCAAATTTTATAAAACTACCCATTACCTTTGCCATGATGTAGAAGGCACAGAGGAGGAGCTGGTCCAAATGTCTGTCCTTCATTAGATCAGCACAATGAACCAAGGTGAATTCAAAGCATGTCCATATCTTCCTGCGCAAGTCATTGGAAACATCCAGTTTCAAGCACAGATCACGCAAGCGCACACTTGCCAGATGATAAACCTGCACAAAAGAGACACAGTAAAGTGTCAAGCCAAATGACCTTAACCTAGTCTCCAAAAACGAGTCCTCAGAGTAGAGCTGTTCTGTATTGGAATAGGTAGTTTCTGCAAGATTTCCTCCCTCTGCCCAAGACAATGTCTCCAAAGGCAAGTTATCAACTCTGCCGAGATGCTGGATCTCTAATGCTTATAGGAAATCCACCTAAACCTGCTGTAGTCGTACTACAGCTGCTACAGCTGATCACTCGCTGTAACGGAGTGCTTCCATCAAGCACTAAGGGACATACTTTAATTATGGTTAAGTATCGTCTTAGATTAGCAAACTGATGGGTTTCTTTTTTCTTTTTCATTATCAAAAATCTGTCTCAAAACCTGAAATAACTGTCAAGTGCAACATTAGCCTTCTTCAATTTATTTCAGAAGTTCTTGCTTCATGGATAGTAATCAGGCCTATCCATTATGCTGGAAAGCACAAAGTTACTTTTGAGAGGAACACTAGTTTCATGTCTTTACAAAAGAAGCCTGTGCGCACCCAGGCTCAGGACAAGGAACAAAAGAAACCTGTGTGAAGCAGACTTAAGAAAAAATATCGAAACTACGTGGTCTCCTGAATATGTAAATTATTTTAATAACTTAACACACACACACACCCCCCCGCGGAATGTGTTAAATGTATTAACTCCCTGAATATCTGGAAATCTAAAGAATGTTTTTGTCTTGAAATTCTCAGGTGGATCGGGAAGTCTGTACACTCAGAGTACCTCAGCCAATGGGGAAATGAGGAGGGTCTCTTGCGGCCGGGAAAAGTAGGATAAAAGAGGTCTGCGTCCCTCTGTAGGTTGAGAGACCCCCAGGAATATGTCCCGTGGACTCTCCCTTTATTCCAATAAAGTTATATTATTATTTTTTTACAGGACTCCTCTGTCTCCTTTGTGAACACTGGCTCCTGGCAGCGTGATTTTTCGTTACACTTTCATTTTCACTTGCTCTACTGAACAGGAACAAGAAAGCAAAGTAGGGAAAAACTACCATTTTGAATATGATCACTTTAAATAGAAGGGGAAAATTTAGAGTCAAATTTAAGCGAACATTTCAGTTCCCTTTCATAATTAAGAGGAATACATGTTGCCTTCCAGATGGTTTGTTGAACACATAGCTACGGCTGAAGTGTTCCCCGGCTTCATTCCAAAATGCAGTCGGTTCAGGCCTGGCAGCTGGCCAATCCCTTAATGCATTCGCAGAGACAGACTGTCACGATACAAAATAAAGCACCAATAGTTCAGACAGGATGTGGCTTACAAGTGTTTCCAGGAATTAGTTTCTGTATTAAGATTTACCTTAAAGATTGTTCAGTGCAGAATTCTCTAGGTTTACAATACAAATAAGCAAAAAGGGGAAAAACCTCTGAAAATAACTTTCTAGCAAGAAAATAGTAGAAAAAAAAAATCATCTAATATTTTTGAGAGATTCACTTAGGCCAGTTACGCCTGGCTCCTCCAAAGACCCCTCACACACTCCACACTGGAAATGAAACAACTAGAAACAGGTAATCTGAAGTTTGTCTGAAGCATACCTAGTTCTTAACTGACCCCTTAAATCATTATTTCAAGAAGTTCCTTTTTTCCAGAAACCTTCAGACAGGATGTTATTCATCACTGCTTTCTGAGGCCCCACGCCAGCACGATCAGCACTACTGGGCAGACCTCAGAACTGCAAGAGAATCTCCAGATGCAGGATCCGAACCAGTAGATTGGAATGACCAAGACACAGGAGAATAGTCTCGTTTCTGATACGTCTAACCCTTGCAAATGTGGGAGTCAGTAAAGATAGACTAGAGAAGTAAAAACTACTGATACTTCTTAGCTAGGAAGTTATAGAAGCTGCTAATTAAAAGAAGAAGAAGAAATATCTCATGTGGAGGAGAAGGGGGAAAATTAGATTCTCTGCAACACTGGACAAGACCCTTTCCCTTCTCCTCCCAGGTATATATGAACTGCTCATGCCAAAGGAGAGGTAGGTGAAGGCTGAAAGGTACCGAAAACTGCCCAATGAGACACGTTTCAGCATGCCCACAAATGGTAGTAAAGCGTGACTTCCAAATAAAGACACTCACCTTTCTGTAAAACAGTGCCAAGGATCCCGTTTTCTTTGGTCTGTTTGCTGAGGACAGATGTGCTTCTTGTGCTTGATTCACCTGAGGGTGGCAGGGAGCCTGAGCCTCCACTTTACACGGCTGACCTAAATTCACTGAAATGGGTATCAGTGTGATCCCACCCACTTCATTTGCAATACCTGGAGACGACACACACACCCAGAAATAAACCGTTTGCTCTCCTCGTGCTGCAGAGTTAAACTGCAGATCCAAACTTCATTCACAAACTTTTCATACTGAAGACATCTCAGCCTTCTGTACTGGATGCCAAAAAGCCCCTCGCCCCTCAAAGTCTTCAGAAATTATCAGAAATCACATTTCTAGTAATGCTTAAAGAAAGGACATGAACGTGAAGGAACATTCCTAAAACTATCTGAAAGTACAGGGTTTAGAAGAAATCACAGTTTCCACAGTCAGTGTTCCACCCTTTTGGGAGCAAGGGGCATTCCCTTTCTTTTCTACAAGCCTGACAGCAGGTTGTATGCAGCCCTCGTTAGTCTCCTCAGTAGCTGAATTCTCTTGCTGAAAATCTCCCTCACCATGAGAAGGGGACATTTATTTCCTTTTCAACTTTATGTAAACACCCAGTTTTTACATTAAAAAAGGGTGTAATACTCATTTCTCATGTATCATTTTCAGAAATACTCAAACATGACCCAACTTCAACAAAACAAAAATCCCCCGCCAGTTTGCTAACGTTACCCAGAAATTCCAGAACCGCTGAAGACAGCAATGGACCCAAGTGAAGACAACCTGTAGCAAATCCTTACTGGAGCTGAGAAGCAAAGCATCACCTAATCTGTGCTGAGGTGCAAATGGAAGAAGCAAGACCTCCACAAGGAGGAATCCTCAGGATGCTTGTCAAACATCGGTGTCTCCATGCAAAGAGGTGTCAGTATGTATTTAAGATTTTTTTTTGTTTGCCTTTTTTTGGATAAAATGATACATGTTCTTTTAAAAAAGAAAGAGTGATACATGTTCAGTTGCATGGTTAGTCTAAGCAGATGTTAAGAGCAAGCAAAACATCTAGTAGAGAAGAAAAGTGGGAAGAGCCCGTACCGTGCAGTGGGATAGTAACCTTCTGCCCTGTTTTCCCTGGAACGGTAGCTCTTGTCAAGGTCAGTACTGTTTGGCCAGGAGATACACTTTCAGTAGCAATGCTTGATGCTGGAGCAATTGTCACCTTGGTTCCCTCAGTTAACTTTTTTTCCATCTGCATTTCTTTGGGGCTGTCATCTCCGAAGAGCCTTCTCTTCGCACTTCCAGCTGTAGGAGAACTGTAGCGCTCGTGAACGGAGATGGGCGACAAGGGCTGCACGTCTAGCGAGCAAAGGAGAAAAAGCAACCTTAATAGAAGTAACTTAACAGGAATACTTCTCCACAGGAGGGGAAAGTCTAACCTTCAAACTACAAAACCAGAGTACAAAAAATCACTTCTAGTAAGGAACTCATCTCCCAGTTCACTGTTCCTAGGTGACAGGAACAAGAGCTGTAGTCTGTCTCCTGTGACTCTGACATCCCAGACACGCACCAGGTATCACACGGAAGCCAAGAGTGACCAAGCTCATTTGCAGAGACTGAGGAACACACAGGATTACAGATACTTACTCCCGTCTGCTTAGCAGGTTAACATTTGCAAGTCCCGTTCCTCTGAACACATCCCTCTGCAGGAACACTGATCACATTCCCTAAATACGCTGACTTCTGTATGTTCTGGCTTTTAGACTCTCTCTAAACTAACCCCAGTCAGAAGCCCTCACCCCAGTTCCCCTCAAGGTTTATTCTGTTGCTTTCAAACACTTTCTTCAGTAGTAAGACTGAAGCACACAATAGTACTTTACAGGCTTCTGTTCCTCTGGCTTTTTGCCTTTCTGCTCGTCTGCTAGCCGCTTGAGGGTACCCGTGACAGCAGCTTCCTATTCCCCACCAAGCAGAAGCCTTCTGAGTAACTCGCCAGGTACGAGTGACTGCAGACCTGACTTTTAACCCTGCCAGGATGGTTTTCTTGCTGCCAGGGGCAAATAAACATTTCAATCCCTGCCATTTTCCATCTGAAGTTGGGAGATTCTCATACACAAGACAGAGTCTCACACAGCCCTATCCATACACAGACACCACTTCCAAACACCTACAGCAACTGCTCCCACACCTTTCCTAATGAGCATGTAAACAAAAGACAAACAGTCTTGTAATGAAATTTGCCAGAAAAACACAGGAGACAACATCGCAACAGCAATCAGTCAATAGCGCACCAGCAAGGAACTACGGAATGTTGTTGGGGATACAATGAAAGCAGCAATTCCTAACTAGGGAAGTACAAAAAAGCAATGGCAGTGCTGCTGCTGCCTCTTCAGCCCGTCAAGAGACAGTTCAGTGTGATAACCCTAGAACCTGAAAAGAGCAAGGCAGTTCTTCAGAGGAAAGAACACTGTGGACAAAGTATTGTCCTCCCCTTGCAAAAAAATGTCCCTAGGAAGGAGGAATCAATGCAGCTCTATCATTCCATTTTAAAAAAATCACCTAAAATCCAGCAAACTCACCGAGAACAATAACCAACCTGGGAAAATCTGAACAAAGAACAGTAAGCCATCAGATGACAACCTACCTGCAAGCAGGGTAGCCCTTGCATCAAAGCAGCAGCAAAACCTGCTCCAGTTCAGAAGTGAAGCATTACCACCACCATCTGCTGCCAGTAAGACACAGCAATGGTTTGGCTGGATGCATCTAGACTTTCACTTGATCAAATTAGAGCCTTCACACAATTCTGGATGCTTAATTCTGACTCAAGTTTGGGTTTTGCAATTATCAAGTCTAAACCGCTCTCCCCCAATTCACACATTCAAATCATATCAGAAACCTTGAACATACCCCGTCTTAAACTCCCGCCAAGATCTGTCCGAACCTCTTTTACTCGAGGATGAATTATGGGAGAAATTGGCATCATAGGCAAATGCCCAAGCCCACTTACTCCATTGCTTGCTTCAAAGTTACTGGGAAATATTACCTGAGAAATAAGAAATGTCAGTGTCAGATAACAAAGAGCTTTCTCTTATTTGTGCCAATCTATTAATAGATTGCATTCTTCTGCAGCAATTGTCTCATTTGAACAGTTTTCTGTACAGTTAGAAAAAGAACATGAATTTCCTAATAGAAGAAAAACAGGTTAACATACTTCTTCACAGGTTGGGACCTTGTTTCCTGAGGCCTGGAGGGCATCCCACAGGGCCGAGTCCCGAGTCCAGGCGAGTCTCTCCAGAATTTGTTCCTCAATGCTGTTGAGGTGCTTCACCATGTCTCTGGAAAGTCCCTCCTCAGACCGAATCAGTACTTCGATTACCTAATGGTAACAAGGCACACACACAAAAGCAAAGTCCTACTGCTCACGCTTAACACTATCAAATCACTATTCATTTCAGGATCCTGTTTGAAATTTCTCTTCAACGTAGAATGCTCCAGCCTTCTCCTTGCATCCTAATCTTCCCTAACCCTCTTCTGATCCCTTTTCACAAAGGCAAGCCAGGAGTTGGAAATGCACAGCAGATGTCCCATCAACGCATAACAACCCACTCCCAGGGTTTTTTCTAAAGGCCCTCTCTCACCACTAAGCATGTCCAGAACGAAAGCACTAAGCGCATGCCGCACTCGCCCACCATGTGCAGCACCCCCAGGAGGATATAAACAGGTGTATGTGCTTCGGCTGGGTAGATGAGAACCCCAGCATTTAAGCTTTCCTTCCTTTCAAACAAGAGGCACATGATGAAAGGGCTGAAAACCACTGTTTTAAAGTTAGTAATTTAAGAAAAGGTTAGAACTCTTCAATGTACAAATCGAGGATGAAGAGAGTTGAAAAGGCCCCTACTTCACCCCTACATCCAATGCAAGATCCACTTTATTTATGTAATTTCTGACAGAGGAACATTCAGCCTGGTTTTCTAAAGCCCCAGAGATGGAAATGCCATAAAACTTCCCTGGAGGACTTAGTGATGCATTTACTTATTTACACTACAGAAACCAAGCACCCAGAGAAGAAAGTTACGGACAGCACAAGTTGACTAATAAATATTGGCTCTCGTGAAAAGCCTCTGTGATGCCAATTTGCTTCCAAGTAAGAGTGGGCTGCAAGAACGTACACCGAATAGTGAAGAAAATTCAAATCAGACATATGTTTTAGGTGCTGGAGTTTGTCTAGAGAAGGGAATGGAGCTGGGGAAGGGTCTGGAGCCCAAGTGCTGTGAGGAGGGGCTGAGGGAGCTGGGTGTGTTCAGCTTGGAGAGGAGAAGGCTCAGGGGAGGCTTTCTCGCCCTCTACAACTACTTGAAAGGAGAGTGCGGGGAGTGGTGTTGGCCTCTTCTCCCAAGAGACAAGTCTCCAGTTGTGCCACAGAAGGTTTAGATTGGCTTTTAGGGAAAACTTCTACACTAGAAGGGTTACTGGGCCCAGGGAGATGGTGGAGTCACCATCCCCAGAGGGATTTAAGAGACATGTGGAGGTGGCACTTGGGGACATGGCTAGTGGTGGGCTTGGCAGAGTTAGGTTAATGGTTGGATGTGATGATCTTTTCCAGCCTCAACAATTCTGTGATCCTAAATTCGTTCCACAAGGTCAGATCTGCACCAGTGCGTCTGGTATTGATGTAGGCTACCAACAGCTGCAGCAACATGGACAGATTTGTTTCAGTTTCACTACTGCCCTATGCCTGAGGATTAAAGAAGGGAGAACAGAATATAATACAGCTTTCCCAAAGGGTTCAGTCTTTTGGTTGCTAACCTCTAAAGAGAATCACTTCTGAATTACTCAGGACTAACTGCAGTAAGCTCTTACGTATCTAGTAAAAATAGGAGGCGTATGGATAGATGATAAAAGGATCAAACAGGTCAAAACAGAAGTGACATTGGACAGAGGGGAATGAGGTTAAAAAAAGAGCAAAAATAGAGAACACTCAGGAAAAAGATTATGTTCTGTTATATAAACAAAAAAAAAAGAGAATAAAGTTTAATAAAGGAAGCCTGTGATAAGTAGGAGTAGCCAAAGGCAACAAAGAATATTATTGCTATTTTATCACTAATAAGCAGAACTATAGCCTGCAGTCAATAAATGTGAATATCATCAAAATATATGCTTGAATGCTTTAGTATACTGAAAGTGTATACATATCAAGAACTAGAAGTTGATCAACACCACGTTACAGTTAAGTACCATTTACAGAATGATTTTCTTGCTTGAATTTTCAGCTTCAACTCCATCGCTACACATTCCAGGTAATATATTTAAGAACAGTCAGAATGCAGAATAGGCATATTACACTTCAGAAGAGAGCTGTGGAATCTTAGAGGTTGGAAAAGACCTTTCAGATCATTAAGTCCAACCATTAACGTAAGTCCATCTACTACCTGATTACCTACGAAGGAAGAGCAGCATCCTGTAAGTCTGTCAGTCCAGCAAAATATCATTTTTAATATGGATCCAGTCCTGAGACAGTATTTATTTACCTTATAGAAATAGAACGGCCTGAGGTCAAGAACTTCAATGATCCAGGGAAAGGTACGAGGTGAGCTATATGCGAAGAGCACGATCTCCAAGCAGCAGGCCATGAGAGAGCGGTGAAAGACATCTTGTTCCAAGAGAGCCTAAGGAGATGACAGAAAACATCAGTGATCTGAGGTTTGGAAAACAGAAGTCTGACCTGGCGCCCTTACTGTGAATCATAAAGCAGGGCCGATGCACTGCTGTCTAACATGAGGTACTGATATTGTTAATTGGATAGAGAATAAAAGTTGCTGTCCATAAAGTCATGATTCTATAAGGCAACATGATTAAGATGGTTAGTTATGTCAGAATTATACCATTTTTAATAGCAGTAAAAACTACATTATGTACCTCCCACGTATTCCCCCTTTTTTAACAGGGATGATATACACAGACTGCTTTACTGCAGACTATTCTGTTCTGGAACCATCTAAAGATAACCCCCCCAGAGAGGGTTACACAGCGTTCTCCTCTTTTGCCAGTTCTTTACTTACAGTCAGATCCTTCCCATGCAGTCTTCGTGTTTCTTGCACCATTATAGTCTCCAAGATTTTATAGTACAAGATCTCTGCCAGTTTTAATCTGTTTACAGCAAAATCTGAAATTGAAACCAACAGAGATGAAGCCCAATGCTCTTTGCACAAATGGTCTTAAGTTGACCCACACTTGTTCTTCTTTAAGAAAGGAGCACATGAGAGTACGTACAGACTTTGCAAATCAAACAAGTATATTCAGAACAGCAGGACATTCTATAAGCGTTTGAAAGGATTATGTATTTTAATATTTCTAAAGATGCAGTTTTGCAGACAGTTGCAATAATAGTTCTCCTATTTGTATGCAGTTTCCTTTAATTTTTCAGTCTAAGAAGAACGCAAGTTCACAATTTTTCTTAAAGAGCCGCTATAAGTTTCAATGTTCTCTTGGTTACCCCATTCTGAACCGCAAGCTTGGTTTTACTCTGTAATACAGTTTGTGGAGTTCTTTACAGTGTTCTGTTCGACAGCAACAGTTTTCTGGTTGGACACATTCTGGGTTACAAACAGCTCCACCCTCTCAGCGCACATACCCATTTCAGCTGCCCTTGTCAGGAACAGCCCGTGCAGTTCAGGTCCGTACCTATGTGAGATCCTGGCTGTTCATCTGTTGACTGAGTGTAGCTGCGACAGAACGTCTCACCTATTTCTTTCACTCTGCTCATAATGCTTTCCATAGGGCTGCGTGCACAACTCCTGAAGCAGAACACAAAAAGAAAGCCTTGTCTGTATAAGTAAAAATCCAGTTTCAAAAAACCCTCAAAAGAAAAAAAAAAAAAAAGTCCAAACCCCCCAAAATCCTGACCCAAATAGAAGGAAGAGAGGCCAGTTATACTGAGTGTTCCTCATCAGACAATAACCTGTATTACCACAGGGATCAGAGGAAAAACATAAAACATCCAGAACTATTGTTTCATTTCCTTCCCTAACAGAGTTAAGAGAGGCTACGTAGTTTTTGGAGCAACCTCAGGACAAAGCAAGAGCTACAGCAGCATGCTCAGGAGAAAAATACATCTGCTAGGAGCAAGGTAGTAGGAAGGATGCTACAGGAGACAACAAAACACAACGACAAGACCACACAAATCAGGCACAGTTTGAGGGAGGACAGGAAAGCTTTCCAAGAGAAGTGCTGGCATTTTTCAAAAAAAACCTTATTTACTAGCAAGGCAGAGAGAAACTAATGAACTCCACACAGTCGCTATCATAAAAATGTGCAAGAGAACATCTGTCTGGAGATGCTCTTCCCGAATGCTTCCAGATTTTCCAGCAATTCTGTATCACAGGACAGTGGCTTGTGGCTAGTGTCAAATTCAGACACCAAGCTATTTTGAAATGCTAGGATGGAAATAAACTAAGGTTTCTTTGAGCAAAGCCTGCAAATTAACTTCAAAGTTATGTTTCCAAGGGATTTGAATTTGAAAGAAAAATATTCAAAAGCACAGAATATTACACACACTCCAAAACACAGTTCTTTCCACTTCTCCTAATCAGGCAGTACCTGCCCTGCTGTGTGCTGAACTCGGAACCAGGATGAGCAAAGTGCTCAACACATTTCTTGCCAGAGGTTTACTCAATTCTTTTCCAGTTTTAATATCTACATCTCTCTTGACAGACTAGTTTATTACCTAGACAAACACATTTTTCCCATAGGAGATTGCAGGCATGTTCATGTTTTAATTGTGTAAAATAGTATCACACAGCCCTTAAAAAAAACATTCAAAAATAAATGCATCTTGCCCTACATCTGTAAACTTTGAAGAACAAGTCCTAGAAAAGCTTTCCAAGTATACATAACTCGAAAGATAAGAACTAAAAGTAGTATTTTCCACATATTTATGAAGGTTGCTTTAAAAAAACATTACTTTTGCACTTCAAATATTAAGTGCTAATACTAAAAGTCCATGCTGATTAATACAATATCTGGAGACCTTAAGCCACAATACAGCAAGGCCATAATTTGCATGTATGTTGGGCAAACACCCAACAGCTCTACAGGTATTTACTATTAAATCATTGCTTTTTGTGAGTGATGAAGCCACACTGATCTAACTTTTACTGATAAACTATTTTGCTTGTACTCATCTGCTTATGCACCAACGTTTTCATGTGCATTTCACTACAGCCAGCATGCAGTCCAGGAGCCAAAAATATAGGTTGGTTTACATAACTGGGACTCTGTCCTAGAAATTCGTGATCATGAAGACCAGGGTTGTGCTCGGCAGTCACTTCCTATGACTTCCAAGTATCACACAGCAGCTACAAGGGCTGAGCGAGAGGCTCTTGACTGGGAATGCTCTAACTCCTGCTGGGACCTGCCCCAGCACAGACATCACAGCTCAGGAAGGAAACTGATAGGCTGAAGCATGTTCAGGAAAGGGCCACCAGAACACGGCTGCTGCTTTACAAGAGATCAGCATCGACAGTAATTAGGGTCACTTCACTTCTAGGCTTATATGTGTGCTGTAAAGTTAGATTAAGATATCCTGAAGTAGTATGAAGGAGAAATGGGAAGCTGTTGGGCTGCTTTTAGTCCTACCTTCCCAACTCTTTAAAGGCGAAGAGTATACAGCTTGTTGACACTAACATTTCCCTCTTCCCCCTGCCAACACAGAATCATAGAATCATAG